GGAACCAGAGTGGGAACACAGTGCAGGGGGATCGTGGCAGAAGAGGAGCTGGAGCTGAGACATGAGGGCATTTGCCCAGGGCAGATCAGCAGGGCACATCAGGAGGATGGAACAGCAGGGGCAAAAGTGTGGAGGGAGGGGTGAGACAGCAGGGGATTTGGGAGACTTCAGAGCTTGTCTTAACTGAGGCTGGGTGAGACTGGGGGTGAGCTGTAGGGCTGGAAGCGGCCAAAGGGGTGGGAGGTTGTGGAGGAAAGGCAGGGGCAGAGAAGCTGGAGACAGAGGCCCTGAATGTGGCTGAAGAGTTAGGGCCTTTAGAAGGATTATTCTGGAAGCCAACGTGGAGGGTAACAGGAGGGGCTTGGGAATATGTAGGTGGTTGCAATGGGCTAGGTGGGAGGTGATAAGCCCAACTCATGACCTGCAGCCCAGCGGTGATAGGTGTTGGGGCACACCTCAAGCAGGGGAGAGTGTGCAGGCTTTTCCTCTTCATCCCCGCTTCAGGAGACAATTTCCCCAGCTGGTCCAGAGCCTGGCCTGGGCTCCCGGGGCCCAGCAAGGGCAGAGCTCAGTGCAAGGTCCAGATTCAGCTGCTCCTACCCTGCTCTGAGGACATCTGCCCAGATGCTTTCCAGTCTATGGGAAGGACAAGTCCCAGTTTTCCTTTCCCAAGGAACTGTTTGTCTGAGTTGCTCTCTCAGCAGCCCCCTGACTCCCCACTTAGAGGCAGGATGACTGTCCTGTTTGGAAGTTTGTTCAAGGGCTTCTGTTCTTGGCTGCACATTTTGCTTCTCTTGCTGTCAGGGAGCTCCCAGTTTGTGGGAAGGGGTTGGGAAGAGGAGTTACCCAGTCACCCAGGAAACCATCAGAAGGGCGTAGAGGTTTCTTCTTGGAGGCGGTGGTATGGGTCCGACTCCTGGCTATGCGGGTCTGAGGCAGGTGGGTTGGTGGAGCTCTGTTCCTCCTGTGCGGCCAGTCCTGTCTGCAGCGTGTCTGGCAGCTCCAGCGGAGGCAAGGCTGCTGGGCCCAGGGGCCCTGGGAAGCTGCTGGCTAAGTGGGGTCTCATTTAGGAGGCGGCTTAGCCAGCTGCACAGTTAGTTAATTTCCCTCGTCCTGGGAGCCCCTTAATCAGGAAGCAGGTTCACAACTGGCTCTGCATGGCTTCCAGAGAAGAGGGAGCTGGCTGGGCCCTGTCCCTAGCTGCCCAGGCCCCACACATAACCTTGTCAAACAGTGGGCTCATTCTTGCTCAGGTTGGTGGCCTCGCCAGTCCCAGAACCCCTGGATGCCTGGCCCAGACCAGAAAAGGGGTTTTCTTCACTGTAGTGGAAACTGGTGAGACCAGGATTGCCCAATGCATCTCCTTAGGACTGCAGTGGCAAATACCCCCTTCTCCACTCCGTCTCCCCATTCCTCAGCCCCGCTTGTTGCAGTCTCCCTCTCCCTCCCCACCCCAGAAGCCCCCCTGATCTAGCAAGCCTCACACCAACAGAGGAGACTGAGGTTGTGAGAAGAGACTTCGCCAGAGCTGGGGTGTCCCTGGGACCAGATGTAAACCCTCGGAAAGTGGCTACATCCTGCTAAGCCTCAGTTTCCTTGGCTGCTAATGGACCTTCGGTACACAGATGTGAAATCTCAGAGATTTCATGTATGGGAATGTGCCTGCCTGCCAGGTATAGTCTCACAGCTCACATAGATGAGGCCAAACTCATGGTTGGCTTTGAGGAGTCCCCAGGGCTGGGCTCTGACCTCCTTTCCTGACGTCTCCCTTCTGCTTACCCATGTGAATCCTACACGCTCTTATGTCCAGGGCGCTCACCTCCTGGTCTCTCTCACCTCTGCACTCTGTGTCCCCAGCAACCCCAGCTCTTGGGGCTATACTCACTTCCCTACCACACATTCTTGCCTCTGGAAATGCTGCCCAGGCTAAAAGGCATGTTTACTTTTGGGGAATGAAAGTATTGAATGGCACTGATACCTCATAAACGGTCTTGGTGAGTAGCTCCTGGCATGAGAACACGGAGGTGGTGACTCAGACCTGGCCTGTTGCTCAGGACTCCTCCTCTCCCTGAGGGCCCGGCACACAGTAGATGCCAAGAAATGGCAGAGGTGTTTGTGTTGTGCTCGGAGGTTATGACTAGTGCTCCAAAGGGCCCTGAGTGTGGAGTTGATTGCTCTCAACTCTGGATAAATGTTGTCTTTAAGTTTGTGTTTTATAAATGAACTGTGGTGGGACAGGGACATGTATGGGAACTTGGAGTGTGGCTCAGGGGTGGTGCTGCTCCCACCACCTCAAAGCCTCCCAGGGCAGGTTCTTGGCCTCCTGCTTTCCTGCCCCCTGGCTCCTAAGTCCTACCCAGCTTCCTCCTCCCTGCCCTGCCCACGGGCAGCTATTATCTTCCCTCCAAGCAGGGGCCTGGGTGTGTGTGGGGGTTGGGGTCAGGTACTCATATCCCACAGCATTTTGGGGCAGGGCCGTCATCCCCACCCTGGGCTGCCAGTGCCACAGTACATTCCAAGGGTGACTCAGAGGGAACAAGTCTCTTACCTCCTGGTGCATTTCATTGTGGAGGTTGCAATACTCTTGTCTAACCTGGATTGGGCAGCAGGCCCAGGGAAAGGGTGGAGCCATGGCTCAACTTTCCGGCTTCTTGTCATAGCATAATACCTGGGCTCAGTGGTTGGCAGGCAGGGTGGGGCTGGGCACTGGTGAGCCCGGCGTGTGTGTGTGTGTGTGTGTGTGTGTGTGTGTGTGCGCGCGCACATGCCAAGCTGGGGAGCAGGGACTCTAGGGCTTTCAAGGGGTCTGCACACAACCCAAGAGTATCCCTATACACAGGGGAGCACAGCAAATAACACCATGACAGGTCAAGAGAGTCCTCAGAAAAAGGGGAAACTTCATCTTTCAGTACCATTAACTGCATTTTTCTCCTTGCTTTTTGAATAAGGGCTTCTGCACTTCCTTTTTGCCTTGGGCCCTGCTAATTATGTAGTTCATTTGGGGTTCAGTAGAAAAAGCAGGAGGTTTGGATTTGGTAGAGTTTGGAAGTCCCTTTGCCTCTCTAGACCTCCGTTTTCTCCTCTGCAACTGTGCTTCCTGCCCAGGACCACGCTCTCTCATGCCTCTGCTTTTCCTTGGACTTGGTGTTGTGTGCAGATGGTCTCACTGGCTGTTTTCCTCTCCTGTCATGAAGCACACAACTTCCCCGGGCATCCTCAGTGAGACTAAATCTCTCCCTACTCCTCAATCCTGCATCTCACTGCAGTGAGTCCTGTGCCTCTGCCCAGGACATTCTTGCCCCTTACTCACCTTAACTGACTCATCTCTGCATCCCCCATGGTCCCTAGCACAGGTGCTTGGCAGATAAAAGGTGTTTTTTGAACGCTTGTCTTAATCTATGCTAGGCCCCCATTCTGCTATGTGGCAGACTTCCCGGGGCCTCTGCTGTGCCCAGACATGATGCTGGGCTTTGGTCCCCACCCCGCACATCAGATGCTTGCTCATTCCTTTTCCCGCCCACACCTGGGGAGCCGTCTGCAGCCACCTCATCATGCTGGCGGGGGGGTCGGGGGGGGACTGCACTCTGCGTATGCCCAGGCCTCTGTTCTCTCTCTGGGCCCTCCTTGGACATAGGCTCTGTCACACCCCTTGGATTGGGGACAGCTGTGAACTGGCACCAGCATTAACCACTGATTCTGGGTCATGATGGGATCATGATAAAGACAAGAGACAAGGTCTTGAGCCAGTTAGAAGTGAATAAATAAATAAAACAATAATAAGAAAAACCCTTAGTTAGTGAATGCTCTGTTATGTGCCTGGCTGTGTTCCAAGGGCTTTACATATATTACTCATTTAATATTCACAACAGCCCTCTGAGGTAGGTACCCATACTATCCTTATTTTATAGATCAGAAGACCAAGCACATGGGGATTATATACATAGTCTGCAAGTGAAGGGACTGGCAATTTAAGTACTGGTGTCTAACCAAAGACTTGAAGGTTCTTAGCATTGGATCCACACTGTCTCCTGGGATTCAGGACCAGAGAGGGAAAGTGATGTGCCTCAGGCCACACAGCAGGTCAGAGGGAGCCTAGAATGGAATCATAGAATCCAGTCCCCAGCTGTACACTCTTCCCACTATCTCCTGCTGCCTGCCTTTGAGAAAGCTCAGGGGCCCTGATCCCAAGAAGAAGGATAGACTAGCCTTCAGGTGACATGAGCTGTGAAGGCAGCTCCCGCAGGCAGAGGGCTTACAGCAACAAGGTGATGGATCCTAATGGATGTTACCTGGGGAGATTTCCTATGCGAGGCAGGGATGAAGTCAGGAAAGGAATCTACCAGACCTTGGATTGTTGGCTGAGGGTAGGAGGAGTTCCCTAGCCTGGAGCTGCTCTTGAGTCCTGCAGGGGAGAAAACCAGGTAGCCTGGTGCAGAGGAGAGTTCTGGGGTCCCCAGGAGGCCTGCAGGTACCTTCTTTCCATGCCTTAGGGCCCTTCCTCAGAGAGCTGGTGTCTTGGGGAAGCTGCAGGCACATTTTCTGGGGGTGGAGAGTGGGGCCTCAGACTTGCTTGGGAAGCTCTGGTCGTGTGAGGGTGAGGCACCTGGGAAACCTCTAAAGGAGATGCCTGGGAGGTGGTGGGACAGGGGAACAAGCCTTAGGGGAGAGGGTGGCACTGGAGATGGAGATGTGGCTGTGGTCATGAGGACACTGAGGACAACGTGGTGTTCAATGCTGACTCTCAGAGGACAGAGTGAGGGTACAGAGGTGGCTACTCCCTGCCAGCAGCTGCTTCCCAGAGGTGGGAGAACAGGAGCCAGAGAAAAAGGCAGAGGAGCCACGTGTTCCTGTCCCAGCAGTGTGCCAGGCATGGTGTGAAGGGCCAAGGGCAGCATCTGCACTGGGATAGGGCAGGTGGGGCAGCCACCGGGTCTCCCAGGAAGCACCGTGTCTGGGCAGCAGTGGCAGGCCATGCTCATGTTTCTTTCTGTTTTCTGCAGGAGAAAGCACTGCTCCGTGCACATCCAGCGTCCTCCAGGAGAAGCAGCGTGAGTTCAGCCTGACCTCAGAGGAGTCTTTTCTTTCCCTTGGATGGGTCCCCTCTGGTTCACCGAGAGCCCAGAAGGGTATAAGGTCCTCACCTGCAGGCAGGACCAGAGGGCCCAGGGTCACTCGTTTTGAGTTTGAGCACTCTGCTCTGTGCCCCTGAGTTTGCCCCACACTGGGCAGCTCGGGTGTCAGGGCCAGAGTGAAGGGTGGGAGGTTGGTGGGCTGGGAAGTGAGCCCTGCAGAGCAGATGGAACCATGGAAAACCTACCTGGTGTGTCTTCTGCACATGAACAAAGAGAGGAGGGTGGGAACAGGGAGCCAGTCCCCTGGTGCCTGTGATCGTCGCCTTTGGGTGACACACCTTCTAGGATGGAGTCATGGGGTCTGAGGTCAGAGGTACCCCATTCAAAACTGCCCAAAGGGTCATGAACCTTAAAATCCCATCGTGAAGAGGCTGTCTCTACAGAGCTGGGGGCCTGTAGTTGGGCTCTGGGCCTTCCAAGTCCTTGTCATCTTCTGTGTCATACAGGCCTCTCCAGTTCCTGCTTGTATGTTCTGAGAGACGAGGCTAGGATTGGATCCAGGAGGGACATGGTAAAGATGTGTCAGTGTGCTGACCCAGTCACCTCATCTTGCTCATGAACAAGAAACTGTTCCCTGGATGTTCTGGGTGGAGGGCAGAGTCTGAGCCAGATGTCTTTGCTGTTGACTGTGCTGAGTTTCCCACAAGGCAGGGGTGGGAGAGAGGAGTCTGTGTGTTTGGAGCAGGGGGTGTGCTTAGAGATTTCCTTCTTCTGCTCTTATGATCTGTGGTGGCAGCTTTGTGGGGGCCCAGTCAGTCCACTCTGCCCGCCCTGTCCTCAGGCTCTGGGGCCCTTCCTGCAAGCTCTTCTATCCCTCAGTTGCCGTCCTGAGGTGGAAGGGTGCCCAGAGCACCAGCCTCACAACAGCCTGGGGGCCATCCCTGAGGAGGGCACAAGCCTTCCCAGAAGAGAAAGTCTCTCTGTTTCTCATATTTTGTGGCGGTTTCTAGGCAAAGCCCTTCAGGGGCTGGTAGAGGTGAATGTCTCTGTCAGGAGCACATGGAAGAAGGCGGGGTGGGGCCTGGTTTCTTTCCTGAGTGTACTCACAGGTTTTTAACTTGGAGGTGACTGAGTGACCACATGGAGAGGCCAATGCCACTGGAAGACTTTTAGGGCAGTTTCCAAGAGAAGAGGCACTCCACCCAGTACCATGGGGGCCTGAGGCTTGGTCAGGAGGCAGAGGGGTGAGGGTAAAGCCAGGCCCAGTCTTTGCTGGGGTTTCTGTAGGAAAGGGAGTTGGGGAACAGCTTAGCATTCCCTAGTTTGAATGTTGAGGGCTCTGGGCAGTAGGGGTGGGCTCCCCTTCTCTGGAATCTGGCCCTGACTTAGGGCAGGAGAAGTTTGGTTTGGTGGTGGGTGAGGGTTGGGTAGAGGAGGTGGTTGGGGATGTGGGTTTGGATTGGTTGGTTTGCATATGAAGAGTGCACTTGAAGGGGATTTGTTTGTGGTCTCTAGGAATTAGCTAGTCCTGGGAGGGACAGTCTCTCCGGGCCAGCAAGACCCCCAAGAAGGCAAAGCATCATAAAATAGAAAGTATGGTCGGGAATGCAGGAAAAGAGCCCAGATTGTTCCTTCTGGGCCTCTAGGAAACCACAGCAAAAACCCCAAAGTGAAAACTACCGCCACCTGACTTGGAGTCTGCCCCCGCCATGCCAAACCACAGCTCTCTTCCATAGACACAATTGAATTGGAGAGATGTTCAGTGTCCTCTGCATTTGGCTGCGAAAAAAATGTGTGATTAATGAGAGGCAAAGGACCCCCCCCTTCCTTGGTTGTAGATTTTAGTCAGAATTCTGTTGCTGGAGGCTGTCATCAAATTCTCCGTAAGGACATTCTTGTTTAGTGAAAAATACTAGTTGACGCACACAGAAGAATTTCGTACCTGAAATGGTACCTCGGAGGTTGTCCAGGCCAGTGATTCCCGGATATAAACCTAATATTTTCAGCACGAGAAAAACAATAACATTGTGATGTGTTTTTCCATCATGGTGGATGTATTCAATTGAGAGGATTGCTTTCCACATCATTCTACAATTATGTCCTGCCTAGAATTTTTGGCATTAAAATACATTTTCTTTTATGAAAGGATGGTGATGATTGATGGTGTCTGTTTATTTTTAATCCAAAATTGGCAAAGTAAAAACCTGTGACCTGAATAAAAAAAAGTAGAAGAATAGCAATGCCTGACATTTATAATAGTGCTCTTCCACTTAAAGTACCACTCTGCACACATTGCCTTATTTAATAATTCCTACTGGGTTTTGAAAACTCACTAAATACAAATTGTGTGGTTGGTACAAATTGCCCTAGATCAGGAGTCAGAAATTCTTGGGACTGGTGTTATACTATCTGGAATTAACAAGTGATAAGGTCTGAGTTTGAAGCTTAGTAGCTGTGACATTCCCTTGTCACCCAGGCTGGAGTACAGTGGCATAATCATAGCTCACTGCAACTTTGAACTCTTAAGAGATCCTCTTGCGTCAGCCTCCTGAGTAGCTGGGACTACAGGTGCACCACCATGCCTGGGTAATTTTTTAAAAATTTATCGTACAGATAGGTTCTTGCTATGTTGCCCAGACTGGTCTTGAACTCATGGCCTTAAGTGATCCTCCTGTCTTGGTTTCCCATAGTGCTAGGATTACAAGTCTGAGCCACGATGCCTGGTTCATTGTGACATTTTGGGCAGGTTACATAATGTCTCCAAGCTTTAGTATATTCAGTTGTGGAATGGTGGCCAAGTTGTCTAATTCCTAGAGTTACTGAGGGTGTCATAAATAACACATGTGAGATGCCAAAAATCTCACCTGCCATGCAGGAAGCATCCTATGGTCCTCAGTTGGTACTGGCTTCTGCATGAGTCTTGTTAACTGGAACACCTGGAGCACATGTGATGGATGAATTTTGTCATCCCATGGAACTCAGTCTCTTCTGTGCTCTCTTGGTCCTGTGACCGCCTCAGTTGCCATGTCACAGTGATGTTTCCCATGCCACACAGTCCCCAGAGATTCCTCCTGTGCTGGCCAGAGAGTACTGGGCCCTTGGGTTGTGAGAGTGGGGAAGGAGGCCTGCATGGACCTCTCAGCTGGTGTGCAGGAGTGAGGTTACAAGGCCTTATCTGCAGTGGCCTGGAATCCTTCCTCCTTTGTGGCTGCCAGACAGCTCCAGCCTTCATCCTGCGGTTGGACAGATGGCCTGGCAGCCCGCCACCACTGGCGTGTGCTGGTCATTTGAAACCAGACTGGAGGACGCCCAGGGAGTCATTGTGCATGGCGGCCGGGAGGGGCTTGGAGGAGAGAGAGAGTTTTGCACTGGGGGCTGGGGACCTGGGTCACCTCCCACCCACTTGCTATGCTGTCTCAGTCCTGCCTGTGGCCCAGCCTGCTGTCCCGTCTGCACACAGGGTCCCTCCTGGATCTGATGTTCAGGCGTCTTTGCTGCTGCTGCCTCTCTGTCTCCTGGCTCCCCTCGTCCACATCTCTTTCTGTTTCTGCCTTGTTCACATTGTTCCCTTAGCTCAGCGATCGTTTACCCAGTGCTTCTAGTATGCCTGCCTTGGTGCGGTGTGGGCCCTCGGGGAACTTAGTTCTTCCCATTGAACCTCACTCCTGTTCTTCCATCCAAGCCTGGGGATCCTTCTGGACTTCTCTCTCTCCATCCAGAGTCAAATTGGCCCCTCTCCGCATATCCCACCTCCCACAGATCTTTCAGCCTCACTGGTTCCTCTCCGTCCCCACCCACCTCTGGCCAAGGCCCTGTCGTCTGTCTCTCCTGTAACCTCCCACATGCTGGCCTTGCTGATTCCAGTTTCGCCCACTCCATCTCGCCCTCTGGAGTGTCAGGGAGACCTTTTTGGGGGGCCAGCCTGGTGCACACAGCTGCTGCTTCCTTTCCTGTGGTGCCTCTCCACCGGAGGGCGAGCCTTGCCTCTGGACAGCCCATCTGCCCCCTTCCCCCTCCTCAGTCACTTTGTCCGCTTTCCTTCCATTCTGCCTCTGGGAGGAGCATGGACATTGTCAGCACAGGTTTTCCACAGGCAAATTGTGAAACCTGAGCACTCCATCCATCCCCGTGGAGGGGACAGAGGCAGCTACTCGGCAGCAGGCTGTGGGAAGGACTGGGGTCCCCTGGGACCCAGCACCCTTGGCCTCTGTCATGGCTGCCTGGATCATTTGTGTGTGATGAATCCAGTGAGCCAGGCTCACCCTTCCTGCCGTGACCTGCCATCTCCATAGAAGAGGCTGAGCGTGGAGTGTTGGCACAGTGGGGCTGTAACTCCTCTCCCTCTGTCCATGCCCACCCAGCCATGACTAATGAGAGAAGGTGTGGCCTCTCCCAGGAGACCCCCCAGCTGTCTCACCTCTCCCTCCCTCTTCCTTCCAGTCCCAGCAGCTGCATGGGGTGCAGGACAGGAAACTGAGGAATGGGGAGTAGGCTTCCTCGACCTCAGTCCCATGCAGACCCACGGTGGGATAACCTACCTGCTGTGGCCTTTGGTGTTGGACCCGGCCTGTGTGGGTACCCTAGAGGCCTGACACATGTGACCCAAACCCTTGTTACTGGCAATGGCTTTCCCAGGGTCTGGCATTAGCTGCAGGGCCAGGGGCAGCAGGTGACTGTCCTGGGTCGAGGGAAAGTCTGCCCATGGCCACGTCTGCTCGTTAGAACAGGGTGCTGAGTGGGACTCTGGACCTCCCCTCATCTGCAGACCAAGACCCGACAATCCTGCTCCTCACTGATCATTTATGTTCATGCTACTCTGAGCTTCTGACGCAGCCACCAAATGAACATGGATTTGTCCCTGGCTGGGTCCTGACTCCAGCCCCGGTTGAGGACTGAGCTCAGATTCCTTGGCTTAGAGAGAGATGAGGACAGCTCAGCATCATCCCTCCCCACCATGGGGATATGGTTTGACCCTG